GTACGGTAATCGTAAACTGCGGCTGTTATACATACGAAATGTAAACAGACGGTGTTCAGTGTTACCATATGACTTTGGAGAAAATTTCTTCTAAAATAAAGATGGCCGGGATTGCGCGAACACGTGCGCGAAGATAATCAATTTTCATTACATTGCGCCAACTGTGCACAGCAATAGCTTAAAACAAGTGAAAATGCGCGGGAAAATTCACCAAAAGCATACATCATCCTGAGTGTGGGTTTTGGGTAGAGTTTTTGACTATGACTATCATTATTGTAATCAGTCTGTTGAAAAAAGAATTGTAATTTTAATTGATTGCCTCCATCATTTTTCAAGCATAAAATCATATGATCTTAAAACTTAGTCTGTCAATTTAACCTATATTCATCTATTTTTAGAAGTTATAAAACCTCTAAGTAATTCTTTGGAATCCAATTTCCAAAGCAGAAATTATACTGCAAACAAAAATGGCAAAAGGTTCTTAAAGTTAACTTAACACGTTGACTACAAAGTGGTACATATGCGTACCACGAAATGTATTTCTCTAGGACGTAGTGGTTACTAAGTGGTACATAATTCAGGTTGCCTTAAATCAGCCAAATCTGAGAACAAAAAAGGCCAAAAACTCTATATATACTAATTAATTGTAGGTTCTGCTATTAAAATTCCATTTATTTTCTTTTGCAGTATTTAAAATTTAGTTAAGAAGTACCCCTATCATAAATTTTAGCTGGTCAACGCAATTGAGAAAAACTAAATCACAGAATTTGTCCAGAAAAAATGACCATCTGGCAACCCTGTTTAAAAACAGTACAAAAAATGAAATAATAGTACATGATGGAGCAATCATAGTCAACGTGTTAATCTTTTGGTGTGGAATCTTGGATAAAATAAATACAATCCAATTTACATAAGAAACTGTTTTTCTCAGTCTGTAATCTGTTACTTAACTAATAGATGTGGAAGAAAAGACTTCAATCAATTTGAATTTTCAATGTGATTTTTTATCAAAATTTATTAATTGGTGTAGATTGCAGTCTTAAAATTTCCCATTTTATTAACCTGAGTTGCCAACTCACCATCAATGCCACTAATTTGCCACAGTACTTATGTTGCCAGCCCGCAAAAGAAATGTTCTATTTTAATAAGTAAATTGGGCCACAACTTCTTAGTGCAATCAGAAAGCTTCTTAGTTGTTATAGCAATATCAGCAATTGAACCCTTCAAATTATAATTTTGACCAGCATTAATTGGTTTTTATAGATGAGCGGCAAGTTACGTGCAGTAGCTGCTGATTGGCAACTTCAAAATCTATATATTTCTTCCAACAATATGGTATATATTTCTTCAAACACATTTCACTTTAATCACCGTTTTAATTAGTATATTTTTAGCATTGCTTTTCAATTTTTGATACTCTTCATTTCGTAATATTTATAAATCAATTATTGTTCAACAAATTAAAATCCCATTCTATAATTGGCATCTCAGTTTGGTATTAAAAGGCATCTGATAAGGAATAGCATGTTATGTAGATGTTGCTGTTTAATATTCTGTAAAAATTATGGAAAACACTGATTTATGTTTAATATTTTTACAGGCCAATGTTGACAGTGTATATGCTCTACGGGATGAATTTGTCACCAAGAGAGGCCTTTCTGCTGCACCTCTCAGAGATGCAGCTGTTGAAGCATACATGAAAGAGACCCTTACTCAGTTAGATTCATTAGCTCAACATAGTGGTAAGTACTATGCTTATTCAAATGTTAACTTATTTATTGGTTGAGAAAACTGATTCAAACATTTCATGGATGATTATCACTAATATCTCATGGCCAAACCATATATAATAGTTTCCTCTGTACTTTTCTACTTTTGTTACATTTCAGAGCTGCAGAGTGGAGCATCTTTGGGTCGAGTATGCTATGAACGCGGACGCCTGCTCTCTGTGTGCCCAGGGCAGGAGGCGCAGGCTGAGCAGTATCTTGGAAGAGCAAGTAAATTCAATATCCCTGGGGCTTGGACCTTGTTGGGTGAATGCCTATACAACAGAGGAGATCTTGCTGGTGCTACTACCTGTTTTAATAGAACTCTAACCTCAGTGAGTATCTGTCAGATGTCTATGATCATGCTTAGTATACAGTACCGTACACCCTTTCCCATGAATGGCAATATAGACAAAAAAGCACTAAAATTTGAAAGAAGTGGGAGAGATTAATTTAAGCTAATTAAATTTCCTAGCTATTGTATTGAATATAATCACTACTATTGGTACATGGCTTCAACTAGTGCCATAATTTTCCATCTAGGCAGTGTTGGAATTATTTTTAAAATCATTTTGAAAGGAAAAAATGCTACTGATCAAGAAGAACATGTAAAAGAACTAAGCCTCATATCCACCCATCATATACCGTCAATTTTCACCTCGAAATAGTTTCAAATGAGTTTTCATGAATGCAAAATCATAATTAGGTAATGAAATATAGGCATACCTACCTCAAGGACCTATAAAAATTTACATTCATATAAATTTGAGAGCATATTTTTCCTTCCATTTTGTGTTATTGAACAATTTATCTTATTACAAATCCCTTGATTTTAACTTGGTTGCAATATTCCAAGGGAGAGGACAAAGTTGCACTCAGAAACTTATCCATGCTGATGCGCGCCATGCCGGCCACCACACCACAGCAGCGAGAGAATAATATCAACAAGGTATTGTATAATCTTATTTGTGTCCCTGCAGCGACAATATAGGTAGGTATTGTTTTCAATTTCATCATATTAGCGATAATAATAGCAACAAGATATTGTGTAATCTTATTTGTGTCTCTGTAGTGACAATATACTTCTTATTTAATTTCTTTATATTAGCTAACAGAAGATATGTTCTTGTAATGGTTTTACTTCAAAAAGTACCTACTACTCTAAGGTGCGTAAATAGTACCTTCAATACAACATGTAAAATTAATTTCAGTGAATAGGTAAACAGAAATTATGGCAACTGTAGATATTTTTAGCTTGGGTGTAGAGTACTCATTTACTATCTATATTTCTAATAATGACATTAAAAATCCCAATAATTATTCATGTAATTTACACTAGTCTGTAGAAAGTCCAAACAGTTTGAAGTATTTTCTTTAAGCAGAAGACATGAAATGCATATTGAGGTTTTTCTTCACATCAACCAGGGTGTGGAGTATGCAAGACGAGCAGTGAAGCAAGATCCTGCTGATGGTAGATCATGGATGGTTTTAGGCAACGCTCTCCTCTCTGCCTTCTTCGCCGTGCACGCCAACACCACAACACTGCAAGCTTGCCGCGCTGCGTATGCCCGAGCTGTCTGTAGCATTTCTATTTATTCTATTTTAACTGGAAAGCTTTTAAATAAATATCGCATTTTCAGCAGTTATATTTTTCAAAAAAAATATGAATGAAAATTTGTGACCTGCATAAAATGAAGCAGGCTACATTAAAATTTTAAGACTGTACTTTTTTCTTATATGAAGTTTTTTCTTGATTTACAAATATTTTCTTGCTCTCCAGAAAATTGGATCCGAATCATTTATGTATCATCAGTCCAGTGGGTTCACTACGCTGTCATTAATTTTACATTGATATACATATGCCCTGCTCTTAGTATATATCATATAGGTAATCTGATTTTTAATGAAGATCTCCGTGTTTGACTTCTGAATGTAAAGAATTTACTTACTCAAAGATCTATCTCTACACATGAAATTTTAGGGGGATAAAAATCACCCCCCTCCCGACCCCTGAACATACAATCCTCATCCCATGTGGACGACTTGATAATTTACTATTTTTAGCGCATTTTCTCATTTATGGAAAAAATGCACTATTGTGCTCGCCATGACCGTCTGTCCGTCCGTCCGTCCGTGACTTCAAGTTTTCGTCGACGGGAAAATGCGCTCTCTGTCACTCACTGCAGTGAGTTCTGAGTTATATTTTTTTTATTCTGAGGAGAAAAGTGATGACTGCCATGAACCGTGAGAATAATGATTATTTACATTATTATTTGTATTATTATTATATTATTGTGATAATTATTTGTCATCACAGGAGCAGGACAAAAATGCCAGTGTTCTTCCTGAATTGCACTACAGCAAATTTCAGGTGCGTGCCTCTTGAGTGTGGCGAATTAATTAACACATTAGTATGGAAACTTACTACTATTTACTGTTGTTCTATTATAATAAGCTTGTGTTATTAACTTATTATACACTATAATACACCTCAAACCTCCAGATGTGGTGGTATGAGCTTAACATTACACCAGGTGTGGTGGTATGAGCTTTACATTACACCAGGTGTGGTGGTATGAGCTTTACATTACACCAGGTGTGGTGGTATGAACAGCTTTACATTACACCAGGTGTGGTGGTATGAGCTTTACATTACACCAGGTGTGGTGGTATGAGGAGCAGTACAGTGCAGCACTAGCCAGCATCAGGACGGCGTGTCTGCTGGAGCCGTCGTGGCAGGAGTGCAGGGCTAAGCTGCAGCACAGCACCACCTTCCTGCGATCCCTCGTAGCTATGGTCGCTAAGCACGGCCAACTCAACCCTAAACGAGTCAGCAACATCAGCAAGGCACGTAATATCATGTGATATGATGTAATCCTTGTCAAGATACAAAACTTCGTCAGTGGTGATGTAATCGTTATCAACATGGTGCCTAACATTATCCTTTTATATGTTATTTCCCTCTCCTCCACGATGATGATCATATATCATTAACTAGATAATCTCATAATTATAGTAGAATTGTTATCAACAAGGTACCTAACTTCTTATTTATGATTTAATCATTATCACGACGTGAAACTTCGTCATTTGTAATGTAATTATTTTCAACGTGGTACCTAACATTTTCCTTTTATGTGATTTATCCCTCTCCCCCATGTTGATGATTATATATCAGTAACGTAAATAATCTCATAATTACGGTATGTTACAATTGTTATCTACGAGGTTCCTAAGCTCTACCTATATTTATGATGTAATCATTATCAACAATACTAGTTAGGTTAGGTTGGTGCTTGACTCCAGTCTTCGCAATGTTTCAACAAGAGGGAGGTTCTTCACCTCTGTTCTTCATTGGTGCTGGAAATGAATAGAGTGTGACAACATTAAATGCTAAATTTGATCATTTTCATCGAAAGAAAACTTCTAACCTTTAAGTAGCTATTACTAACTTTTAATTTCAGCCTTAAAGTATCTATTACCAATGCATTAATTTTTGTAACGGGATGCTGTTTCCGTTTAGACTTGTCCATAGACTGTGGAGTGCAGTTTTCATGGTCTACATTTGCAGTTGCTGTTATAACTTGATGAAAATCAAGGCTTTGAATTGATAATTTTGTGTGAATTAAATTTTCAGAACTCGATTGTTTCATAAGCTTCACTGCCGTTTAATTATATCATAATCAAATATTGATATGAGATTAAAAGTTCTACCTAACTAGTGATATCTTAATTAAGTAATTTCAAAAGCTTCACTGCAACATTACGAGTGATTTCTTTATAATGCATTTGAATCCCCGTTAAATCATTTGTCGCGCGTTTCTGCCGATCACTAAAAGCCAGCATTCATATTATCCCATATATGTTGAGATTATATACTTGATGATTTCTCATTAAAAAACATCGAAACATAAGGGCTGCTCTTTAACATTTTATAACATCAAAAAACCTCTATCTTGTCACTACAGCGTCATACATGGTCATTATTTAAGCGTCATGTACGGCATTGTTCCAGCAACATGTATGGACGCTACTTATGCGTCGTGGTTAGACGTTATTTCAGCGTCATGTTTAGACGTTAATTCAGCGTCATATTTAGATGTCATTTCGGCTTCAGACGAAATAGTGTCTAAACATGTTTATACGCTATTTCAGCGTCATGTTTAGACGTCATTTCAGCATCATGTTCAGACGTCATTCCAGCGTCCTGTATATACAATATCTCATAATTATTGTCCCTCATACCGTCAGAGTATCAAGAGTATCCACTTGGGTCCCTATGAACGCGGCGGCACCGCTCTCACCAACGACGTTCAGCCGCAGCTCGTGACGTTCCAGCAGCTCAAGCCTGGCACAAACACCGATAAAGTATTTCCTTTTCTTATTTCAGTCCGCTTATTTGTGTCCGCTTGCAATGGTTGAGTTATATCCTTTTATTGTCGCCCGTTTCGTCTCAGTGAATATGTCAACTATTTTTATGTTTGTGCATGATACTATTCAGATGAATAATCGTGATTATGCCAGGTATTAACGTGTTCAATACTTCTTTTTGTTACTACAGACTGATATTCTCTCAAATATTCCTTTGAAAAAATTCCCGTATGGAAGTATGCTTCTTCTCTACTCTATATAATACTTAATTCGGTCTGCTATTATACTGTATGCTCCTCAAACTGATTTTGATGTCTGGCTACACAATACTTCACGTTCATTCGGTCTTCTATAAAATTACACGCACAACAAACTGATTTTGGTGTTTGGTTACAGAATTCTTCATGTTAATTTAGTCTTCTATTAGATTGTATGCACGACAATCTAATTTCGGCGTGTCTGGGCAGATCGTGCAAGGGATCGTGGCAAGCACGCTGGTGCCAGAGTCCGGAATCCCGTTCGTGATGTGCCTGGTGGACGCGGAGGGAACATGTCTCCCTGTTACCGTGTACAATTGGGCGCCGGGTTCAGAGGTGAAGATCGGTGACGCGGTCGCTGTCTTGGCGCCGGTCTTGCGCATCCAGATTCTAGAACGCGCGTGTCTCAACGACTCCGTCGAGTTGCCTAACGGGGAGACGCTGGATCTGAAACAACAGGAAATTAGACCCAGCGCCAATGAAGATTACTTAGAAATGCCCACGCTGAAGAACCTGAACGTAGAGGCTGATGAAAAGGAAGCACTTGAAGGTACTAGCAGTAGGAGAAAAAGTACTTCAAAATCTGAATTTGGGGCGGTAAAGTTGAAGGCTGATGACGCTTCAAAATCAGATGGTGTAACTGTTGTTGAGAATAAGAATTCTAATGAAGAAAGTGCGTGTGACCGGACTAAAAGTGATGACGCGAACGATAGCAAGTGTAGTGAAGTAATCGATGAGTCAAGTGCCATGAGTTGTGATGATCAGCCATGCGTTGAAGCCGAGATTACAAGGAAAGATACAACGCCTCTTAAGTCTATCAAAGGAAACACCCTGGCTTCTGTAAGTCCTGGCTCAAGTGAATCGAGGAAACGAACAAGTGCTGGCAGGAGGTTACCTGCTGACGGGAGTAGCGGTAAAGCCAATTTGAAAAACTTGAATAAATTAAGCAAAACTGACGGCTCTAAAAAAACTAATGACGGTACACCTTCTAAAACTGCAGCTTATTTGCCATCATCTAGTGATAAAAAGACTCAAATTGCCGCAGAGAATAAGAATAAATCATCTTCTACAGTATCCAGTGCCTCTAGAAACATTACAAGCAGAATCAATGCTACGGAAACCAGAGCAAAAATATCGCCTAAGAAACAAACTAAAAATGACGCGAAAATTCAGGCGCCGACTAACAGTTTAGTGAACAAAAACCTAGGAATCTCTGGTAATCGAGGCACCAACAGTGATCGTAGTGGTAAACCTATTAGATCAGGTGCTGGTACTAGTAATAATAGTAGTAATGTTGCAAGTAATAATAGGATAACAGGCAGAGCAAAGCCCGGTCGAGGGAAGTCTGCTACAGAGACTAGCGAGGAACCCTCAGCTAAAATAGAGCTGCGGAACATACGGGTAGTTGCTCCTGTGATGCTGGTTGTGAACAAACGCCAAGTCACGTCTGGACAAGTGGCTGCTTCTTATATTGTGTCGCAAAACAAACCTGAATGATTAATAGGATTTGTCGTAGAAGATTTAAAACGAACTATACCTACATTGTGAACTATTTCTAAACAAACCTGAATGATGAATGTGATTTGTCGAAGATTTAAAATGAACCACTATACATAGTGAACAATTTTAAACCTTGGAAAATGATGATCAACGACGCTGCTGGCACATAGTATCAATTGCGGTTACAGCTTCTTTAATTAATAAATGCAACATTATATTCATTTCAGTGGATCGGGACTTAGAGTATTCCCTTAAAACATGCCAGATTTGACCTTTTTTATCAGGGTCTTAAAATGCACGAGTGAATACACAATTCTCAAAAGCAATCTTGACCAAAATTCGCGTGACGGTCTCGTCAATTATTGAGTTTCTCCAAGAACGGAATTGATTGGTTTGTCAGAACAGACGCGTTTGTTGTGATGTCTCAAATTAGTATAAATATAAAGAATTCTTCAACATTGTGTGTATTTTAAGGAACGAAATGGAAATAAACTTCCTAGGATTTCCCTCGCATGAAGCAATCACTCGATAATTTTCCCCTATCGTCCATTGTAACAAGATCTGCAAGCAACTAAATTAATAATTATTTTAATATTTTATGTCACTTAGATGCAAGAAACTTGTCTAATCGAAAAGTGTTCATATTAGTTGATAGTTCAAAATAAAAATATAGATTTATTTACTTGCTGAGTTTTCTCCTGTAGTCTCTTTATGATGAAAATCATAAAGAGACATAATCATACCTTATTTGTGTACATTGTGTCCCGGGAAAACCTTGCTGCTCTGCAGCTATATTTGATCTTTTGATTTCATGCATGCATTATAAATAACACGTCCTCAACCATAGAGACATTCTAATTTATTACTTCAAAAGCTCCATAAAATCGAACTTCGAAGCATAAATGGTTATCGAATGTTCACGAGCTAATTTTGTTGCTTATTCTACTGCATTTTATTCCGCGGTTAGACAAATTTCCAAAATTATTGTACATGGTAAATTGATTTTAATGTTTGTGAATTATTTAAAATTTATTCTGCCGTCAATCATCATGCCGTTTGAAAATCAATAACAACAACTTACACCATTGTGCCTAATAAGCTTAATGGCCTCGGTTAGCTGTCAAAATAATTTCGTTTTTCATCTGCGCCACCACAATAAAGTTTAAGTTTTATGGAAGTGATATGACGCGAAGTTCTAATAATGTTAAGTTCCAATGAAGTAATGTGACCTAAATGTTCGCTACTTGAGTGATGTAGCTACTTGGATATCTGCAATTGTGTGAAAAATTGCTTATGCCGTGCCTACCAATTTTAATTAGCTACAAAACTAGAAGAAACTGAGAAAGTTCTTTAGATTTTTAATTTATTTCTAATATGTCACCATAATTCGAAAGTTTCTCTGAAAAAAATGTACTTTAATATCTTTTTACTCTCATCTTTTATATCATCCATCGAAGAAATATTTTCGTCAAATTACCAAGTCCACGTTTTAATGCAGTTATCTTTCTTAAGCCTATATTGACGATTATGTTTTCATTTTACGTCTTGCCACTTGAGTATAAAAATCAATAATGTGACTATTTTTATTTTAGAGATGTTATATTTTATTACCTATATACCGTACCATCGCTATTAATGCACTTCATCCCTGTAGCAACGAAGTGATTCGAAGTAACGATGCCCTTCTGAATCATTTAGCACAGTCTGGTTCCAGGTTTACTTGCCTAAACTTCCTTCTTGCTTACACTGGACGTTGTAACTGAACGTTTGTATATTGTATTCGAATGTTTATTTGGTGTGGAGTGAATTAAGTTTCTCTTTTTTTGTGTTCGTAGCGGTATTGAAACATTTGCAATTCATTTGAGATGATATACGAAGCTCGGTTGTTAAATCATGTTCATACCATCACATACAGTCCAGAGGTAGAGTTCTTGCTTAGCAGTTCTCCTGCTATCTTCTGTAGAAGATGTAGAATTACCTACCGTACCTTCGCAAAAAGCATGCATAGCAGTTTCTCGACGATACATTGTAATCAAATTAAAACTCGTCGATTTAATGTCGGCAAATTTTTAACGACATAGTCGTGCTAGCTCTCTAAATTGGAAAGACTTACCTAAATGGAATAACAGATTGATCTATAAGAAAGTTTAATATAATAATTCGTAACTATTGCCACGACGTTAAATGTCAGTAATAGTGAAACAAGCGTTACTTCGGACCATACTGCGGCAGGTCGCTTACACGTAAATGCATCATTTTTACTGAACATTTATTTGTGATCCTCTTCGGTATTGCAGCCTGCACTTAATTGACACCCTGCTTTTTCGCAAGCACTTCCAACATCGTGTAAACTGGATTTCAATGTATTGCCACCACTATAAGTGAGAGTTGTAAGAATCAGACCACAGTTTTTCAGTATAGATCAAGTTATCAATTGATAATTATTGGGATTTGTTACATACGAGTTATTATACCTAGAGATCCTCTTAAATTTTTCATAAATCCTTTTCTGACCGAAGAACCTAAGGAGATACAATGACACTTGTGTGACACATGCACCGTGGAGGCCATATCTCGAGCCTGCAATTACTGATCGTCAAGAGCCATCACAGGTCCTGAATTGAATAAAGATTATCCAAACAACCTGCCTTGACTGCTTCAAATGTGTTCCTTGCTTAGCTTACAATAGGTTGCAAGATGACATAACGAAGGACGTCATAGTATACTTACTTCGTCTTATTCGTTTTTGGTCAATTTTGTTAGAATCGTGAGATTTACAATAGAGCTTTACTTACAAAAGCTATATATAACCTAAAAATTTTCAATAAAATTAGGCCTATAAGAAAAAACAACGAGTTGGTACTTTTATTGAAACAGATTAATTTTCCCAGGTGGAAACTGAATGAGGAAAATGATCTTCAAATCCCGAGTATAAATTAATTTATGGGGAAAAATTATTTCAGATTTCCATTCTTTTACAGCAAAGATTCCGTAGAGGAAATATTTGATCAAATGAACATGAGTGGATAATTAAATCGAGAAAATTACTCTCGGACGTGCTACTATGGATGAAAATTTGCGGATTGGCAAGACCTGATGAGGTGGTACAAGAGTGAAATAATTAGGCAATAAGAGACGGAGGTAAACTGTTGGTAAACTTGACACACGATAAAAACTGAAAATAAGGGTCGTGGTGTCAAAAAATATAGCGGAGACCTCAATAGGTAGCGTGAAGACGTCAAAAGGATGCATGCAAGCACCAAAAGGTCGCATGCAAGCGTCAAAAGGTCGCATACAAGCGTCAAAAGGATGCATGCAAGCGTCAAAAGGATGCATGCAAGCACCAAAAGGTCGCATGCAAGCGTCAAANGAGCCAGTAGACGCAGTGTACCTCGATTTTGCCAAGGCATTTGACAGTGTCCCACATGAGCGGTTGTTGCGTACATTGAAGTCTTTGGGAATTGAGAGTAATGTACTCAACTGGATCAGAGATTTTCTAGTAGGGAGGCGACAACGTGTCAGTATTAATGGGTCCGTATCAGACAGACTGGGCTTCAGTGCGCAGCGGCGTGCCACAAGGAAGCGTTCTCGGGCCTATTCTATTCGTTGCGTTTATAAACGATCTGCCGGCCATTCCAATAACTCTCCTGAAACCATGCAAGGAGTGCCCTAGCCGTGTGCTTAGGGTCATTGTCTTGTTGGAATATCCAACCACGAAAAAGGTTAAATTTTTCGGCTGACTTCACGAGACATCACTCAAGAATGCCCTGATACATTTTGGAGTTCATCCTTCCTTCTATGATTACCAATTCCCCAGAGCCTGCAGAAGAGTATCAACTCCAAAGCATTATGCTGCCTCCTCCAAACTTCACTGTTGGGATGGTATTCTTGGGGTGAAACACAGAGTTCTCCTGTCTCCAAACACGACTGACACAGTTCTGACCAAACGATTAAATTTTAGTCTCATCTCACCATAATATTTTATCCCAAAACTTGCAGGTTTACTCACGTGTTCTTTAGCAAAGTTCCGCCGGTTATTTACGTGAATTTCCTTCAAGAGTGACTGCGAGTGGAATACTCTATCTGTTGGGATCGACTCTGCGTTTCACCTAGAGAATACCGTTTCAACAGTGAAGTTTGGAGGCGGCAGCATAATGCTTTGTAGTTAATTCTCTTCTAGGGGCCCTGGGAAACTGGAAATCATAGAAGGAAGGATGAACTCTGAAATGCATCAGGGCGTTCTTGAGAGATGTCTCGTGAAGTCAGCTGAAAAATTGAACCTCCCTCGAGGTTGGATATTCGGGGCGCATGCCGGATGCCAGCTTTGCCAAACTTCACACTTAGATCATATTCCTTGCCATAGGTAAGAACGCTAGAGTGCATAACGGCCTATGAAGTCAAGTGCTCAAAGCCATAGCGCCGGATGTCCACAGCCACAAAATAAGCTTGCCATATGTGTTAACCTTGTGAACTGAACAACTATTCCAATCGGTTAGAATCGGTTTTGGCTGCTGAACTGCTGAAGTTCACATGAGAAAGTATAGAGTAAATTTATTTACCTACTATGTGCTGGACACTTTTTGAACCTTGACTTTTAAAAAACGTAATTATCAACTCCACATTTATTGATATCGTTGTTTTGATATGACATTTATATTTCCCATGTAAATTTACATTAGAGTAGCATTTCTTTACATTATTTTGTTGAATAAGCTTTAATTAAATAAAGTTTATCATTTGTGTTGGATACTTTTTGCACCCACTGTATATGCCAAATAGTTTATTTAAATAATGATCAAGTTTACATGTACTCCCAAGGATGAAAAACATAAATAAATATCAATTACATATTAAAAGAATAATGGCAATAGCTAAGAAAGACGAAATTTCCATCTTTGTTAAAGTTCGGAAAAAAGCTGGCCAAGATTTTGTTATTGCAATTGAGAAAAGAACTTACACAAGTTCAAAGACAAAATAGTGTGGATTACGGTGTGGTGTCTTTGAAGTGTGGATTATGGTGTGGTGTCTTTGAAGTGTGGCTTATGGAATTCAGGAATAATTTGAACTACTAATTACAGGTGACAAAGTGACATATAAATTCAAATAAATTCTTCTTACACGTCAAATATTTCAATGTAGCAAATTTACACAATAATGCCTTAATGGCGTGTTGTAACGTGCAACTGAATTCTTCAACTTTTTCACTGCTTCAAGTTCACGGCAACGCACAACAAAACACGTCCGAACAAATAAACGAAGATGAAATTATCGTTTAACAATGTGGCGTGGACATAATTTCAGATTCTTCATACTGTCTCAAAACCTGTCTTATCTGTATCAAATATCAGCTCATCGGTTGGACAAGCAGAAGTGGTATACCACTCGTCGAAGATGTTAGCGATCTGCCCGCCATTTAATAATCATATTTTGACCCGATCTGATCGTGGCCGTACTCACATGAACTGCATTGTGGTGTGTAGTGATCTCGACAGTATTGTTAGAATAAGATAAGATGTAGACATCTTGCTAACTCAATATTGTACATATTGTCATCCGTAACAATGGTCAGTAACAACGGTCAGTAACAACAAAAATCATAGTCAACTATAACAAACATAATTTGCGAAGTGTTTTATAATACTTTTAAGATCCGATAAGTGGCAACATCTTGAAAGACTTCCGGTTTTCCCGGAGGCCTATTCCGAGCCCTTCACTCTTGCTCTGACGCCAACACGCGAGGTTGCCCACCGTGCCCTCCTTTGTAGTTCCTTATAGGTGTTGTGATATCTATACACTGGGCCTATTTTACGTACATGTTGACATCAAACTAAATAAACTGAAACCACGGACCTGCATCCCCTATTACCCTACCTACATTTAGGGAAGCCTCAGTCAAATATAAAATCGTCAGCACAATATTAAACAAATAGTATTCCTCAATCTTCAGTGAGATTACACAACCTACTCAGCCTTCCCTCAGGTGTCAGCTCATTAATCAGTAATGATAATAATTTGTCCCAATATCGACAAAATCTTTACAGCAAACGCTAGAGTTTGGCTTCTAGAAACTGGATTGTCAAGTGACTACTAATGCCGTAGAAAAGTTGGTGCAGATGCATCAAGTATGACTAGATATCGCAGTAGAACAAGGAACACATGATTCAAATGTTTCTATTGTCTCTTCAAGTTATATTTGATGCCTTTGCACTCGATACATTGGGTTTAGGAAGCAGTTTGGCAGTAAAGAAACTTGACAAATCACTAAAAATGCATGCAGCGACAAATCTCCACCACCATCGACGCCATGTTGATGGCACGCCTGGCAGCGACGCCTCCACCACCATCATGGCATCACTGCCATGATGCCATCCATACGCACGTATCCAAAACTGCCGCTACAACAAAAAAATTGGAAACTTTAAAATAATTCCATGCGTAGGTCTGTGATAATTGGCAATTTCGATTTAATAAATGTGCATTGGTTTGTAAGTGTAATCTTCCTAAAAATGATTAGTCATTATTATTTCTAATTTACATACATATGGTTCATAACTTCATAGGGTGGGATCAGAAAATGTACTTTTTTGAATAAGCAATATCAAGAAACTGTTGCAGATGGCAGTAAAATGTAATATTCCCCTTTACAGATTTCCTCAGCAACTTTTTTTTGCAGTTTTCAAGTAACGCCATGGGAAGAAGTTGCTTAAAAGCAGATGATGAATTTTTTTTCCATTTTAATATTTGCACGGCACTATTTCCTATATAATGTACAAACAATCAAAATTCTGGACGTGCGGTGTCTATTGCGGATACAGTGAAATCGGGCTAGTTTAACCAAGTTACTAACAGTCGATAAAAATATTCGTCACATCGTTGACAATATAAGTCAGGGATTATTTCAACATACGTCAATATTTCGACAAAATAGGTCAGAGACTTCGACCTTAGAGAGTGACAGGTCACATGTAGAATCCCCATCTTTGCCTGTCACTCGCTGTATATCCCAAATACAAGAACCCCTATCCCCTAGTAAGAAATTACAACTTTCGAACGTATTGTTTACTGCATTCACTTGCTGCCGGTGACGTGGCACCGCTCCTCTAGTTTATTTTAGATTAAGCGGACCCAGCAACATATCTCTTACCTTGCCTGCTGAGACCTGACGCCTGGCATAAGCTTCCGAAGCGACTACAGGCTTCCTATAGTCCTTGCCAAGACTATTATTCTACTGTCCTCCTATTTTGTGTTAATATGGTACTAGCAGTATTTTCTATTGGTAGGAGGTAGGATTTGTCTAAGGTAGGACAAATCCTACCTATAGGTAGGATTTGTCTAAGGCTCACTACAGTTTACGTTTGGGGTTAACCTCCAATTGGGACATAAAAGGTAGCTTTTAATCAACTTTGGTCATTTGCTTAGGGTCTAGTATAGGAAGACTGGGGTTTAGGGTTTCATTCCTACTCTAAAATTTTCCAGAGCATTTGAGCCTCCTACTGTCCTGCTTGTCCTTTCTGGTGAGCCTTCCTCCTACTTTACACTCCTCTTTCGTTAGGGTTGCGTTCCTTGGCCCTTGCATTATAGCCTAACAGTTATGAACTCGGTTCCACGTCAACTCGGAATATATTTAGTTGTGTACCAATTGTTT